ATAACTCACGATTGGCTTTCTCATACAGGCATCGTGTCTGGTGCATAGTAGGTGTATTCACTCTCTGTCCTAAACGTTGTTGGAGCTCCTGCCAGTGGCGGTTCTAGACCAATTTGACTGGGGGGGGAGGGGGGCCAGGCTGGGGCCAGTTATTTTCTGAGTGGGGCCGCCGCGCAACCACAATAAATGCAGGACCGAAAAAGGAAAGGACATGTATGAAGTAATTGCGCATAAGAAAGCGAATACAGGTTATTGGTATGTTGTTTCAGTGACAGTATTTATTTCAGATACTTATAGTTACAGTTTTTATGCTCTAATGCAGGGGTCTCCAAACCATTTTTTAGGATGAGAGCTACTTCAAATATAAAACAAAATCGTAGCCACTTGTTATCCTCTTTTTGTTGTTTTTTGCAGTACATTTAGCACACTTATAACATTATTATATGCTTCACCTTTAACGTTTGTGTGTTGTTGTGGGGCAGCGTTTTCAGTGTTTACTAAAAGAAAATGTATGCAATTCTAATTATTGTTTACCTGCTTTATTTTTGGGGGTGGACGCACATCCTCTAGGCATGGACCCCGGGAAGAGTTTTTTTTTAAATGTTGAAGTTATTGCATTCAATCTGGTGCACTTTGATCACAATAATGAATTTATGTGGATACAGCTCTCAACACTTATTATGAATATGGAGCTGTATACTTTTCAATAATGCCAAACATCTTTAGATTATGATCACAACCAATAAACAAATCCATATTTAAACTTGTTTATTCTTATCTTATGTTACCTAGTTAGCATTCTTTATTTTCATTTATGCATATTTTATTAATCACTCCCCTTTTAAACTATTTTTGATTTGTGTTACTGTCTTATAGTACACATTGGAATGATTTCTTACTTTATTTTTTTATTTATTATTTTTTGCTGAGGGGGCTGCTACAGCACCCCCATCTGCGAGGCTCCACTAGCACCCGCACCCCCAAAAGCGGCGCGCCACAGTTTCGCCGCTGCGAGGCTCCACTTACTCGCTACAGGGTGTACTTTGAGGGTTTGTGACTCTGCAGACCGTTTACATGCATAAAAACCTTCATAACACACAAGGGGACGGGTATTAACCGGAAAAGCATGACATGTGACCTTTAAGCTAATTATCTAGGGATACATGTAAAAACATTTCACAACAATACATTTAGATTGTCAACCTCATGGTAGAGGAAGTTCATCCATGGAGAACATTAATATCTGTCCTAAAAGACATGCAAATCCTCCCTTGTTTGTCAATACATGTTACTCGGTGGTGGTCGAGGAAAAATCTGATTCACTGAGGATGGAAAACATGCATGTCTGAGGACGATTTTGATCTCAAGCTTTGTCAATGTATAAGTAAATAGTTTGAATCATTGGAAGCAGGAGAGAAGTCAATGTCATTAGAGTATATCATAAAAAAAAAACTTTAAAAAATCTGTAACACATTTTCCAGTAATCTATCCCATGGTTGTTACATTTTCACTCTAACACTAAAATGTCAATATCATGGATGTTGTAAAAAGGAAAAGGTCGGTTTATCTTCTGTTGAACATGAATGTCTGTTCCAAATTCCAATGCAATCCAGACAATAATTATGACTACAAATATAGAATATTTGCAGCCTTTTTCTTTAACTCTCAACAATAAATCAAGACATATTACTTTTATATTTTTACACTGAATATAAAACAAAAACTTTACATCAAAGGTGGTGCAGGGATTGTATCTACATATCCACTATCGCTGAGTTCTGTGCATACATGAGGTTTTCTTGGCTTGTGAAGGGCACAGTCTGTGTAGTGGTTTCCCTCGTCTTTACAGGACAGATCAGCTGCATTCTGTTTCTGCAGGACGACCAAATTATCACTCTCCACCTCTTTCACCCTGCTGTAGTCCTCTGGTATTCCCTCTTGTCTCTGAAAGTGTATGTAGCCAGAGCTCTGGACCTTTTCTTTCTCGAGGAAAAGAACATTGTCACTTTTCACCTCTTTAACTCTGCTGTAGTCCACATGCTTCACATCAACGTTTTCCACATGTCTCTGAAAATCCACATAACCTGAGTTTGTGAATGGTTTGTTGTTGTTATCCACTTGGCTAATTTCCTCATCCTTTTCCCAGTCATTTTTGTGGCAGGGTGACTCTTTAGAATGGATTTCCGAATCGAAGTGGAAGCAAGCAGGAATCAAGCTTTTCTTCCTTTTCTGAGAGTTAGACGAAAGCCAATCTTCATTTTCAGTCACAATTAGGTAATCCTCCATCTGGTCCTCCCAGACAAAATAAATAGGAGGAAAGCTCTGTTTGATGATCAGGACATTGTCGACATCGTCAGATCCCCCACTCTGGAAGTTATTTAGAGTAATTTCAGTACATTATGACCTCAACCAAATCCCCAAAAGTGGGAAATCATGATTTAGTGTTACCTGGAGAAGTTGAGAATTGATTCCTCTTATCTTTGGACCAGGAACAGGGGGGAGAACCCACTGCTTTACCCTGGGGAACAAAGGGGAGTCAGTCAAAGCATCCTCATCTTGACTTTCTATTAAGAGTTATACATCTTTTTTGCCGGAGATACATACGATTTCCTCTTCGCGATTAAAATCAACCCTGCCATTATGAATAGGATGGCAGAGAGGATAGAAATCAACATCGACAACGGTCTCTCATTCTGAAGATCTAAGTACAAAAGGACAAAATAAAAAACGTTTTCAGTAATTAGTCATGCTTGGAACAGTGGCTGCCTCACCAAAGAGCTTCCGAGACTTACAGTTGGAGATTTTCACAAAGGTGGTGTTGCTCCACTCGCTCCAGGAGCCGTGATCTAGTAAGCAGCGGACCTGCACCGTGTACACCCCCCCAGGACTGACGCTGTACAGGCTGAAGTGAGTTTGCGTGCCTGACGTGTACTCCTAGAGAAATACAGAAGACAAAATGTTTTAACTGAATTACAGTAGGATGATTAAAATATGCTGAATGAAACAGAAACAGAGTCTGTAGAATAGAATTGGGTCAAAGTTGAAACTCCTGTTGACAGTCCTGGAGAAGACTGTTATTGTCCTCTACTGGATTGACCAAACGACTGTTTAAAAGTCTACCAGATTTCAAGAGAAGTTATAGATAATTACAATTTTCACCAGTTTGGTCAGACAACTTTGGGTCCCAAATGCCTCCTAAAATAATGAACATTTTTATTCCAACTCTGTACTTTTCCAGTTTTTTTCTACCAGCCAGTTCCTTGTTTTAATTTGTGTCAATCATGTTTCCTAAAGGAAAATTAAGTGAAAGAGGCACATTTAGGCTTGACCTGTTTCACACTTCACTTTGCAAATGATCACTTGAATCCAGTCAGTCACATTATCTTATATACACTGAACAAAAATATAAATGCAACACTTTTGTTTTTGCTCCCATTTTTCATGAGATGAACTCAAAGATCTAAAACATTTTTTATATACACAAAATAACCATTTCTCTCAAATATTGTTCACAAATCTGAAAAAATCTGTGATAGTGAGCACTGCTCCTTTGCCGAGATAATCCATCCCACCTCACAGGTGTGGCATATCAAGATGCTGATTAGACAGCATGATTATTGCACAGGTGTGCCTTAGGCTGGCCACAATAAAAGGCCACTCTGAAGCGTGCAGTTTTGCTTTATTGGGGGGGTTTGGGGGATTCCAAAAACCCTAGGGTTAAACCCTAACCCTAACCCTAACATGTCACCCATTGAGCATGTTTGGGATGCTCTGGATCGGCGTATACGACAGCGTGTTCCAGTTCCTGCCAATATCCAGCAACTTCGCACAGCCATTGAAGAGGGGTGGACCAACATTCCACAGGCCACAATCAACAACT